GATCTTTGAGCACTCACCGGACTTCAAGTTTAAATAACCGATGCAAATGCTTACATCGATCCTGTTATAAGAGAACACTGATAAACAGCTCATTAAAAATGTTAGTAATGACCCAGAAAAAGGGGAACTGTGTCGGGACAACTCGACCATCTCGTTCCTCGAGTCTTCGTTTCTTAAAGCACAAGCTCGATGGAGCGAGCGACTCTCCTTACAAGTTCGATTTTGATTGGTTAAAAAAAAATAATGGAAACTAGCAGAAGACCAAAAGGAGCGCGGCTTCTGGGGACGAGAATGAAGTAAAGCACCAACAATTCGAGCCACATGTTTGTCAGCTGAGCATGCGCAAATCAACCGGAGGTCCAATACTTTTGGGCTTCCAATCGGGTCGCTCATCTCCTGACCGCTGGTCAAGGAGAACGAACACTCTGAGTACGGTCAGTACGAGGTTGGTTGAGTGAATGAAAACCGCAGAAATGCGCCCAGCTCATTAAGAAGAAAGTAAGCGATGAATCGAGACATTTTATTTTTCTTCCCTTTTTAAAACAAGTTACGTGTGAATCCGTCGGGCGATGGGGAACGAAACACTTTACTGATTAAGCAAAATGTACTGTACCGGAAACAATATTTTACACTGTTTTTCTAAGTAATTATCTATTTCTACGTCTGCTATGGAGTTTGAAAGGTTATTTATCATTGTTCTACCAGTCTAAAACGCCACATCAGATAGTGAACACGGAGATCATACTGACAAGAAGCAGAGCGCCAAAGTAAACTGTGGCGATGCCCGCTCCGTTGCAAAGATTTTGACCACAGCACAAAATCCTTCTGTCTTCGGCGTTTGGCATTCGAGCAGCTGAGTCACCACAAGCCAGTGGTACAGTGCAGCCTTTGAAGTACTCTATTAAACCTGGCTTTTTAAACTCGAGTTTGAAACACTTTCTGAAGCCAACTCCACAGTAAATCTCGACGGCGTTTTGGTCGCAGTCTTCCCACGAAATTGTGCTAGCACACTTATAACAACGGAACCCGGTCGGTAAAAGTGTGGCACCTGGTGAGAGGGCGAAGTTGCACAAATCCTTGTCGCACATTGTGGCTTGGCAGTCTTCTTTTCTCTTGTCATCGCACGGATTGTTCAACCGTGTAGTGCAGCTTTTTTTGTATTTCGTCTTGTCTCTCGGATTTTCTCTGGACATTTCGGCCATGCATCTGGTCTTATCCGATCCTAAACACGTCCTTACTGTCTCATTCAAATCTAAATCACAGTCAGCCCATGAAACTTCACTGTCGCAGTTGAAGCAATGAATCCCCACACCTGCAAAGTACAAATTTCCAAAATGATCAACTCCATGGAAGCTTTTATTCATGAGTGATCAAGATTCTGAATTATTCTTAAAGGTGAAGTGGAGGAGCTCAAAAACTGATGCACTTTCATTACATTACTGCGCGTTTTGCAAGTCACGAGCCCGAAATTCTAAACAGCGGAAATGGCAGTGAAACGAAACAAACGTCACAGGTCATTAAGGTGCGCCATCAGAGCCTACATCATCACTGTGTACCATTATCGTTATCATAGAACAATTATTATATCATCATCATAAGTGTCATCGCCATCGCTATCGCCATCGTCATCGTCATCGGTATCGGCTTCGTCATCGGCATCGGCATCGGCATCGGCATCGGCATCGTCATCGGCATCGGCATCGTCATCGGCATCGGTATCGGCGTCGTCATCGGTATCGGCATCGTCATCGGCATCGGCATCGTCATCGGCATCGGCATCGTCATCGGCATCAGCATCGTCATCAACATCGTCATCGGCATCCTCATCGTCATTTTCCTCGACATCGGCATCCTCATCGTCATTGTCATCGGCATTGGTATCGGCGTCGTCATCGGCATCAGCATCTTCATCCTCATCCTCATCCTCATCCTCATCGGCATCGGCATCGGCATCGGCATGTTCATTGTCATCGTCATCCTCATCGGCATCGGCACTATCTACCGGCATTATGTAACATTTTTTGTCCGTTCTGTCCCATTAATCTTTATGGATGCCCTCTCGTCCTTTTCTCACTTGATTGTATTTAAAAGCAATTTTCTTTCTGCAGCCTGATACAAGCGTCGAATTTAGTCTTATCTCTCTCACTAGTTCCTGGCTTAATTCGCAACAGACATAGGTATAACAGCACGCTCAGGTCGTTGAAAACCGAACAAACATGCTACTAAGTGGACTGAACTTTTCTTAACCGTACATGAATAACTCAGATGGCGGGTCACTAAAAATGCGAAACCAGTTGTTCATCGCGCAATTTATATGGACGCGGTGAAAGAGCCCGTGTAGAATGCTACTAGTGTGATAAGAATTGAAGCGGAGCCAGAAGGCCGTCGTGGATTTTCTAAGCCTTGCAAACCAGCCTTCACAACTATGGATGATTGACAAGAAAGAATATTTACTGAATTGTAAGTTGGAAAACGTTGAACGATTACTTCGTTTTTTCACGCGACCCATTCTTAGTACACGAATAAAATACTCTTTTAAAGAATGTAAACTAGCTTTAGTGAGATGTGAACACAATGAAGAAATTAAAATATGAGAAGGGGGGCAGTCTGAGTACCTACCGAAGTGCAAAACATATGCAAGTAGAAGCATGGAACAGATCGCTGATAGTAAACTGAGCCTCATTGATCCCTCTGATTGAAATCCACGATAAACCAGCGATAGAATAGGCGTAAAATAAGTCAACAACTGCGGTATTGAACAGAGAGTCCTTTACCATACGGCCAGCATGTGTCACGGAACAAAAGTAACGATAATCTGAATAGGCGATCTGCTGTCAATGGTTTAATATTAAACTATTTTTCGACTTCAATTTTCAAACAGGTGTAAACAGATGAAATCGATCGGTGTTTTTAATTATCTTGTACGAGCAAGGATATAGTTTTTGATATACAATGATATAGTTTCTTCCCTCGTGGGAAGATTAGAATGATTTAATCATCATTGTCAGTGTTTAATGCCTGCTGACGTCTTCTCTCTTCCTATTTCAGTGAGATTTTTTTAGTTTCTCGAGGATCTAATAGCTGATCAGGAACGCCGAAATTGTAGCTGCTGGTAGAGAGAATAAAGCAGTCTAACATTGGGAGAATAATTTGCCATTAAATATTGGAGTAGTCTAAATTGCCCTCAGTTTAAGAAATGAATGAAGACAACTGAGGCGTTCCCCATGGGATGTTTTGTGACTGAGTCGGTCGTCCGTTAAAAAATAAATAAGATAAAAGTGGACAAAAGAAATACTGCATAAATTAACAAATTAGTAATTTCAAAGATCTCTAAAATTATAAATAATAATAACAAATCAATCACATTTATAGCAGTAAGATTCCAAAGTGCGTAGACTATGTGTAAAGACGCATAAAATTTTGTTATAAAATACCATCAAAAATGTTATGTCATTGAATACAATGTAAATTATAGTCGCAAGAATAAATAAAAAGTGTAAATAAACACCATCTTACCTAACGGTTGAAAGCAGTCCATATTGTAGTCCATATCATTAATCATTAACCTACAATTCGTACGAAAAATATATCATGCGTCTATGATCTCCCGATAACTATTTATGCCGATGATGTGGCGCTGATCACTGGCCGTTTCGACGGTTGTCATGCAGGGGCTTAAAAAAAAACAATAACAAAAATTAAAAAGTATACCGAGTAATGCAAATTTTATACAAGAGTGTCATAGTCTTGGCTGATGTCAAGCCCCAACGCTTTTTTTAATTTATTCATTTATTGATTCATTTTTCAATTTGAAAAGCGAATGCTGTTTACTTTTTCATTCTTTCAAATTTTTGTTCTTTTCAGACTGGAACGTTCCCAGCAGTTTCAGAGGCAGTCAATAGATTTTAATAATCATATCTTCATATCAAATTCACCAGAATGTCAACAGCCGGTTGACTGAAATCACCCAAATTACATTGTCGTCCTCAGGCTTCCGTTTTGTTTTCATCACGCGGTCAGTGTCGCACCATTTGCGGTCATACATTCCTAATACTGTACTTGTCCAGTGGGCCTAGACAGATTCTGCTCAAAAAATGTTAAAAAGTTGCTCAAAAATATCGCCAAAAGTTGCTCAAAATCGCAAGAAGAAAGCACCTTGCCGTCCGCCATTTTTAGCTAGTTGTACCATATTTGGAATATTAACACAGGATACCCATTCTGAAAATTGAATCAAATCCGGCATATCCATATTTGAAATCTATTAACACAAGATACCGATCAAAACGCAAGAGATTTTCTAGTGAAATTCTCGTGAATTTCTAAAGGGAAGGTGTTAAAATATCAGTTACTTATGAATGTGATTTCGAAATAGCGAAAATATGCCAAAAAAAGCTCACTCTCTGAAAAGTTGCTGCGAATCGAAAAAGTTGATCAAAATTGTAAAAGTTGCTCAAAAGTTGCGGAGCAGAATCTGTCTAGGCCCACTGTCCAGAACCCAGTTCTCGCACAGGCGAGCACAGCCGTTTCTCAAATCAGACCAGCGAAGAACTAAGCTCTAAAGTCAAAAAGTTTGCATTTTGTTGTGTGGTGGCTATATCGCATTTTGGATCAGCGGTTGGCAAATTGAGGTTGGTCAAAAAGATAACCATTCTCTTTCCATTATTTTGAAATCTTGTACCAATCGATCCTTTTAGAGTACATGACACAGATGTACCACAAATTTATACAATTATGTCCTACTGAAGGTACCTTAGAGCCGGTTTTCAATTGAGTGTCGTCAACCCAAACCAAAGCAATACCTTCTGCCAATCACAAAGGACACAGACAATACAATGAACCAATCAAAACTCTAAGTAGATACATGTAGCTGGCGCCAAGCGCGGGAAAACTTATTGGTTTAGGTTATACTTCTGATTGGATGAAAGAGTGGCGCCAATCTTTTAAGCCAATCGTGAAGCCTAAAAATGCGAAACCAATTACGTTTCGATACTCTTTATTCAACTGTTCAAGTACATCATTAGGGAGCTCAAGCAAACCACGACAACGACGGCAACGAGAACGTCACCAAACAAAAGGTTTAATGAGCAGAACAAGGGCTGTGCACGTGCGTTATAAATCTTTGTACATTTCTTAACCTTCCATTGCAAAACAAGAACGTGAAATGACCAAGTTCTGCGTCGTCTGAGGAACGCGAACGAGGACGGCTAATTTTCCGTATTTCCATTTGGAATTGAATGCTGTCGTTGCATATTTAGCCTGAGCACGTTTTTAGAGCCATTATATTACGGAACAGATGTAGGCAATTGCGGATTTCGCTGGTAAAATATAAATTCATTTTTGACTAGGCGTCGTCTTCGGCGCAACATTGCGCAAGTTTTTAGCGGAGTTCCTTCGCGCTGAAGGCGCGCGAGCGGAGCCCCATACCTTAGAAAATTGGTGACCCATCGATCTAAAAAATTTTGGTTCTCTTGACTTTCCGTACGTACGTACGTCCATACGCCAATACCTTGAAAAATAAGAGAGTAGCACCATTACCACAGCTGTCTTTGATTTTGAGTATCCATGCGATAGTTAATTGACAGCTGTCAAAGCACGCTATCCGCTGACCAATATTACGTGACCATGTCGCGGGCTCAGGTTTAGAAGTCGCGGGTTTTTTTTTTTTTGAAGTCGACCGCTGACCAATGACTGGTTTGTTTTTCTGGATCGCGGGCTAAAGCCAGGTTATTACTTTGGGGGAGAGGGAGGGAGTACGTGCAAAGGCAAAATTTTGGCGCAAATTAACCCCTGGCGCGTTTTTGACGTTTCTTCCTACATATTCCTTGCACAATCGTCTCGTCAGTTTGTTAAAATTTAACTGGAAAAA